GCACCTAGGTTGTCAAAGCCGGCTCACCGCTGGCCACCGGCATTCTTGAGACGTGCCAAGGTGAGTCTTTCCTGTTCCAGACAGCACCAATGGCCTAGTTGCTTCCTGAAACGGTTGTGCCTTCATTGCGAGCCTTCCACATGGTGAAAACAACATGGAAGCCAGAGGGGTGGCCACCCTGACTTGCTTTCCGAAGGGCGTAAGTCTTGACCACAACTTCTGCCACAAAAACCATGGCGCAAATACCTTCCAATACAATCCACCCCGCCCAGTTCGGGTCGATGTCCAGGGAGAGGCCCAAGAACAAAAAGCCTCGGGCCCGGTCTTTGTTGCAACATCTCCGGAGTCGGAAATTCACAGCTCCCACTCAGAGGCAAGTCGCTGAGGATAATCGCCACAGTGGAAAGTGCCGTCACACCGCCCACCCACTGCTCAGAGCGGGACACCGGCTTGCGCAACTTCTCGTACGCCATTAGATACGCACCGGAAGCGCCAGTCGACGGCATATCGTCCCCCAGCAGCGATTGCTGGACAATGAACAAATTTAAGGCCTTACTGTGGCTGAATGACTCTTTGCAACCATGCCCATCATGCGCACCGGGGGCAGTGCAAATAAAACTCAGGGCGTGGCCACGGGACCAACTGCATACTTTGGCAAATCATCCAGCATGATGCAGTCCTTGCACACGTCTGACTGGTGTACACTGGCTACATAAGGCCCTCGCGAGCTTAGTTGCAGAAAAGCTTCAAGAAACTGCCTCCAAGCGATAACAGGCTGGGCCGAAGAAAGCTTTGCCTTCCTGTCTTTGTCGATTGTCTTTGTGTGGATGCGTTTGAGCTCCACCAAAACCTGTGAAGTGCAAAAGCTTCAAGGCTTTTCGACGGAAGGATGCGCAACAAGTCCTTGGATTCCCGAACCCTGGTCAGACCGCTTTGCCCACAAAGCTAAGATCATCTGATTTCTGTTGATGGCTTCTGGCTCGCCTCCTCCAAGTCTTCCTCAGCACAACGAGCAAAACTAACCCCGGCATCATCGAGTTCTGATCCTTTGATGCTGCAACAGAAGTCATGTTCATCAATTCCTGGATGTAGAAAGTCAATGCCAACCCTTACCCATGAACCTGATCACCAAATCGCATGCAGGCATCCGGGCTCAGTGAAGACATCAATTGGCTCGTTCTCTTGTTTCGGGCAGCCTTCACAGCCGCCGAAACGTCCTGGGCTCCGCTGGCTTGGTGTTTGGGATGCTGCCTAGGGTGCAAGACCGTGTTAATGGCCTGCAAGACCTCTTCTAAGATGTCTGCACAGCGTCAAGGGGACTACATTCACCATGAGTTTCAACGTGCTGCTGCTGACTGCTAGCAAGGCTCGCTGGGCATGACAACTTTGGACAATGGATCCCTGACATCGAAGAGCTTCTCCAACCTCTGATTGGCCGAAGTTGAAATTGAAATACTCTTCAACACTCTCTGGCTTGAGGCGCTGTGCTCATCGCTCGAGAAGGCTTGGATTCGGCAGCACTCTCAGAAATTCGACAAAAAGCACACCAAATGAATCAACAAAGGAAGACGCCCTGGAGTGCAGTTCAGTCTGTTTCAAACGTGCTGCCGTCGCAAGTTCACTAGGCTCTGCGCAGGTGGCTTGTATGCTTCAAACAATCACACACATGTTCGGCTATGTTACAAAGGTGCCGGCGTTGACTCCGTGACGACCGAGTCATAAGACTATGCAATGCCTATGGCAACCTGAGCTTTACCTCTCCTCCGGTCTCCTCCTGCCATGGCTCCCTTGGCAAAGCCTAGTACTGGGGCGCGGCCCGTGGAAGAGAAGTCACTGGTTTGCTGTAACTCAATAGCTAAGCTCCCAACTTCTCGACTATCCGGTCCTTGACAGTGCTTTCCCGCCTTCTCCTTAGAGATGATTAAGAGAAAGAGAAATCGGAGAATGGACTCTCTTCGCTCTCTACGGTCAAGCCCCAGCCCTGATCTCAAAGCCGTATCCGAATTGAATGGTAGCACAGGGGGTAGCGTGAAACTCTTGCATGCTCCTCACAGAAGCAGTCGGGGGAGAGCAACAGCGGCATGTCCAAATCATGCAAGCTTCCCAGCAGGTGTCTGCGCCTTCGCACAGGCACAGCACGCAGGAGCATGCCACATCAGCTGAACACACTACCAGTCACTACCATGGCCGACGTGAAGACTGGCTCTATGTCTCCGTCTGTCAGCCTGCCTGTCTCTGGTGCTCGCCCCATTCTCCCCCACTAAGCGCCCCCGCTATTTTCAGGAGCTTAATTCGGAGGATTTCGGAAGTGAAAGTCCAATAGAACCTCAACGACAGCTGGCATTTAAGTAGAAGTTGCGCTGAAAGACGATCGGAGAGTCGATCAGAGAGCATTTATCCCCCATCAGAAGGCGTCAGTGAGTGGTGCTTGGGGCTACCAAGCACACACGAAATGCTGCGTTATGGGGTTTCCCCGTGTAAAACAGCAGTTTGAACATAGAGGATGCAGACACATGTTGCAAGCCTTGTGAATGTGTCGGACGTTTGGTTCCACGGAAGTGCAACCCGCTCGTGGGAACCATGCACCACTTCTCCTGTGTCATCTCATGTTTGAGGTGTCAAGGTTCACTCTGAAGTTCCCCCTCACGCCCAGAGGGTTCAGCGGGAACCTCCCAGCATCTGTGACTGGAGAACCCCTCGCGGTTCTGAATTTGAAAAAAACCGTTTATGATGGTTGAGCCCTCCCCCCCATAAACTCTAACATAGGCATATCTAGTCCTGTTCTTGCTGTGCATGCCTTCGATTGCATCGGAGTCTTGCATCTGCCGTCCATCGTCTCAGACGATCGGATCCTCCTTGGACGTGGTTGTCAGCCTTCCTTGCCTCTGTCGTCTGGGCAGGAGGTTTTGATAGTGAGCCTGCGGTTTCCCTTCAACCCACGGTTCTTTAAAAAACCAGAACTGCCGCCCCACAGTTCATCTGGAAGAACGGTCGGCGGACCAAAAGACAATATGCTGAGAGGGTTCATCAAAAAATGTCACACAAACCTTTGGATCTCAAGCCTCGCCCGCCTCAAAGTCCTACCCCTGCCTGTTGTGACCTACTGTGCTTGGTTAAATGCTGGTCCAATGCATCTGCGACTCCTGTCGACTCACATAGGATAGCATGCAACTGTTACAGCATGTGCTGCGCCGAACGCCTTTTCCACCACGGCTTCCGCATCCACTTCACCGCCGCCGAAAAGCGTCCACTTCCTCGATGTCATCACAGATTTCAACAAGGCCGTATGCAATGCAATCAAGTTGGAAGATTCTGGACGCAAAACACTCAAGGCCTGCAAACATCTTGCTTTTTGCCAAAACTCTGCCTTGCAGCATTGAGAGTCACCAGACCTTCTGCGATGGCAGTCTCGTGGCCCTGGATCTGGATGGCAATCTTCAGATGCTCCGGCAGTGGGTCAGACACGTGCAAGAGCCTTGTTCACCAAGTGGTCGGCAAGCTAAACTGCTGAGGTGGTTGCAGCCAAGCGGCACGTCTGATCCTGTCTCGTCCCACACCTGCAAGGATTCGGCTCTCCCCCAAAATTCTTTTTCTTTTCAGACTCATGCACAAAATGCAGCTCCGAAATGCTGCTAAAATGCTGCTGACCATGCAGTGGCCGTGCAAGCTTGCCCTGGGATGCTTGCCTCCTGCTGAAACAACCAATGTACAGCAACATGTAATTCACAGGGCTGCCGACAGAAGTCTGCAATGATGCACAACGCACGGCTCCTCCTGCTGCAGTTGGACAAAGTCGGTGCAGCCTTCGTTAAAATCAGACTTGACCACCAGCTTGCATTTGGCGGCGCTTGCCTCCACACCTGCTGGCAGGAGCATCTATCCCAATTTCAGATGCCGGCAACCACATGCTCTCGGCCATGGCACCCAAATGCCTGCCAGCAATGACCCAGGAAGGTTGCGGAGCGAATACACCATAGTGCGGACCTTGAAGCTGACTTTTGCAAAACGCGAACGGACGCCAGACTCATTGAAATTCAATTGGGCCGATCAAACACTAACTAACCATCTTCAACACAAATTGAAACAAGCAGCCGGAGAAACGGCTGGACCATCAAAATCAAAGTCGTTCCCAAATGCATCGATTGCATCAGCCTGGGGTTGCTCGTTAAGCTTCAGCTACACAATCTCGCCCCGAGCAGTAAGTACTTTAAGTTGCAGACATCCAGATCCACTGATAAACTTGGACTGAACGGCCAGCGCTCTTCCTGAGTGACCTGTCATGACACTGCTGCAGTTTCCGCTCACATGCCAAAGTAAAGTGCTGCCTCCGCATAAGAGGGAGAGGCGGCCCCCTCGCGCTTGCTGAGAATGCTGAGGTCGCCGAAGCCGTGAGTTCCCGTTGGTGGTGGAGGCAGCTCGACGGCACCAGCTGCGGCCTCCACAGACCCAGGTACCACAGACACAATCACACGGGAGGCCCGGACAGAACGCTGGAACTCCTAAGGAACATCACGCTGGACATGGCCTCACGAAGTGAATCCTGCTCCAGAACATGGTTCCCTTCGTTATCCTGAACCACAGCGGGACAGGACGAACGAGCTGCATCTAGCACAAACGACTGTAAACCCTATGCCATGTCATTTCGATGGCACTCGCATTCGACAGGCTCCCTCATGCTGTGGACAAACTCATGTAAAGCATCTCGCCGCGCATCTCTGCGGGCCGCGCTGTACATTCCCGCCTCGGACTGCCCCTCTGGCTGCGCTGCCGGTGGGCAATGAGATGTGCCCGACACTGACGAAAGCCGTCGCACATCGGCTTTCAATCGGCTTACTTCCGCCTCCTTGGATAAATCGAAACGCAACCTTAACACAATTCATCCTGATGAAAAATCTCTCGGTGAACTTGATCAGCAAGGGCGCATGCTCTTGTGCCATTTGGTGCAGCAGCTGCTGAATGCGCTGCACCGTGCTAACCCCTTTGGAACTTGCCCGCGACATGTTGCTCCGAGATAGAACCTTTTGCACAAGCTAAGCAACTGGCATCATCACGGCACAACTCAATGCTCTACTGCGTGCACACGATCTGCATGGCAACTTGCTTGCCTGAATAAAGGACGATCGGCGGGATGATGCTCGCAACGTCAAACCATGGCCCACATACAAAGCATTGCCGCCACGGGATGCCTGAGCCCTGCGGGTCAATGAGTGAATGATACTCAAGGATGTCATTTTTCAGCACCATGGGCCAATTACGATTGCTGGCTTCTCTTAACATGCGCAGCGACGTGATCATCAAAGCCGAAGACCTGCGTTCATAGTTCATCGCTGGGCGTCTGCCATATGTGAAGCATCGAAAACCCTCGCCAAATTCCTGTACTGTAGCTCTCGCGATGGCTGCTCACGTGTTTGGATGCCGTTGGGTGACGAACGAGTCCTCCCTAACAACGCTTTGTTTTGGTTGGCGCTCCACGGCCAAAATCCGTGGTACTCAGGCGCTTACACGGGCAAGATTCAAGCACGCTTGCGAACAGGCGTAGGCGGCATCGTTATGGACATGTTAACTCGCGAATGCTTCCGTGCCGCACCGTTTTTCCATCCGGCTCGGCTAAGATTGGAGTCTGAGGTGCACTTTGCACCGATTGCTGCTCAGCAGCAGCACCACTCCATCCGCCAACACCGGCCAACAGCTCGAAGACAGCCCGAGGGGCGTTGCAGCTAGTGCGCTGGGGAAGAACGAAGAAGAAACGGAAGCAAAGCAGAAGTTGCGACAATATTCTTTCTGGCATCAGCTGAAAGCTTCGGCAGGACAGACTCAGCTGAGACTTCCTGAAGATAGTACGCCAGAGTAGTTTGGTTCTGAAGTCTCATCGTCCACTGGATGTCTGCGATGGGCCGCTTCTTCCGATAAGCAGAAACAGCCCCGCCTCCGCGCAGACAGCCAGGAGTGAGCTTGAACCTTGGGGGAACTTCTAAAGCGGCCAGCACAGCATCCCAGCGCCGCCGGTAAACTCCAGGGCTTCCCGGAAAGAGGAGCTCTCGTGGAGGGAGTTTTCCGAGCACAGCCGTGACAAAGCCGCTGAAGTGCTCCTCCAGGTCGATCGCCACATGCTGCACGCGAGCACCACGTCCTCTGGTTTTCGGCTCCCTGAAGACGAGATAAAAACGACAATCGCTCTGCAGGATGTCTCCCGGTGTCAAAAGGTCGCCGCGGGTGGCGCCCAAGACCTCCCCGATGCGGCAGCATCCGAGAAAACAAAGGAATGTAACAGCAGCCCAGCGGCGCCAGCCCCAAGAGATGCTCAGTCCGATCATAGCCCACAGAATAGGCTCTGGCATAGGCGTGCGGTGAACTGTAGGCTCCAGTTTTTCCCATTTTGTAAAAAGGTCCCAGGCGGGCTTCAGACCAGCCCTGATTCGCGGAATCACGTGCTGACAATGAGCAAGTAGTTGACGGAACTCCTGCAATGAAGCCCCACGATCATAAAGAGCTTGCCCGTAGGCCAAAAGAGCCTCGACGAAGAGGTCAGGATGAAGCAGAAGCGTTCCCCACAGATCCGATCCGCCCTCTTCGGAGACCCAAGACCTGAAAGCAGTCCAGATTCCGAATCGCAAGGCGGCCGTAGCCTTGGTCACCGTTGCAACGTCCCGAAGTTGGACCTGAGGGCGCTTCCGAAGCGCCTTCCTTGGTCCCGGATTGGTAGCCTCGCCAATCCTAGCGTTCTGGCACTTAGCACATCGAGAGATGTCCAGAGGTCGGAAATCGCCCAGCCACCCAGCGTCCTGAGCAAAAGCAGAGGCCAAGAGGAGACAGAGCCTCCTGGGATAGGCCTCAGCAAGCTTGGTCCAGCTGACACCGGAGGCTCTTTCCCTTCCTCGAAGCACTCGATGAGCATGATCGCCAGGGCATCGCATCCTTGAACCACCAAGCTGGCCGTTAGTCCTGAAACGCGTCGCCTTTCTCCACTGAGTACCGAACACGCACATGTCGCAGAGGAAGTCATTCCAGAAGACGGTCCTGCGCAGATCACTCCAAGCTCGCTGCTTCCAGAACCAGCTGTTCTGAGGGTTCTCAACCCAGAACAGAATAGCCGCATCGCTCGCGGCTCGGATGACTTTCAGAACGAACTCCAGCATCAGATTTCCAGAGAGGACCTTGTCAAGCTGATCATTTCGCAAGTCAGGGCGCCCCTGTGGAAACTCCTTGGTTCGCCAGCTGGGCGTGATTGCTCCGGAAAAGGAGCTGCAGACTGGTCCAGCGCTCACCCCTCGAAACGCCCCTCCAAGGATGAGCTGAAGAAGCTCTTCCTGGAGGTCGCTCCGCAGGAGATCCTCGTCCAGGCCATGGCTCACATCTAAGCACAAAACCCAGCAGGGAGCAGCAGCAGCAGCAAGAGCCTTAGCAAAGCCCCGAGAACCCGCAAAAAGGTCAAGCCACCCAGGAGCCGAGTCGAGGGCAGAAGTGAGGTCACCGAAGGCAGAAGAAATCACGAAGCGCCCCGGAGGCATGTTGAGGAGAAGGCTTCGAAGACCAGGAGAGAGCTCAAAACCAAGTGAGCGGGCAGGTATCTCGCGATGGCAGGGCGGAGAGGCAGAGCCTTCGGAGTCGCCGCCAACAAAGCTCGCAGGATCAACTCTCGTAGGCTGAAGCTTCGAGGAGGTTAGGGTCGGGGCTTGAACGGCAGGGAGAGGCTTAGGGAAACCGGCCGCACTAGGGTAATCAGGGAGGGTTGCGTTAGGCTCGGGAGGCAAAACGAAGCCTAGGCTAAGGGCTTCGGCACGCTGGGAGTCGCTGAGATTCTCGCAACCTCTAACCGTGAACCCTATAAGAACAACCCGAGTCCCTCTCCAAGATTGGGTGGCGTGCAGCCTTCGCGGATTGAAAGCGACGGCCCTCTCACTGACGGGAAGGATCTGCCCCCAATGATCTTGACCTCGATGCCGAAGACGCTCTGGCCCATTTTCCGCAAGCACCCAAATTCCCCCTGACTTGAAACGAGTCAACGGGATGACGAGGTTGGGCTCGCCTGACAGATTGTTTCTGTCAACGTGGGCAAGGGCACGAACATTCTGATTGATGCTCAGCGAGCTGAAGACGAAGCCGGGCCTGATTTCACGAATAAGCCGAGTAAAGACCTGAATGGCATTCGGGAAAAGGCCGCAGGTCCGTCGGAGGCCGACGACCCCACCATGGACGAAAACCCCTGCAGAAAAGGAAGCTTCAGCCTTGCTCCACTTACTAGATCTGGCAGAGACTTCTTTGGGCAGCCTACGGAAAACCTCGTAAGCTTCAGCAGCTCCTATGTGAACCCGAAAAAGAAGACTCGCAGCCCTTTGCTCTGGTCCAAGGGAGGCTCGCACACGGGCAGTAGCAGGGCTAGGAACTTCGCCTATCGGCGCATCCGCCCAAAGCTCACTCTCAGGAGGCAGACCCGCTAGCTGCCGAGGATGGAGCTCAAGATCCCAAAGGAATTTGTCAAGAGGCCCGAAATCTCCTTCAAAGGCGGCAGTCAGCCAATTGGAAGGGTCCTTACTGGGCCGCCTAAGCTGGGCTGCCCTAGTCGGGTCGTCGCTAGGGTTCAACTTAGATTGGATGTACCCGTAAGCAGGCCGCACCCGGCTGGCGAGGTGGCCCGGTATGGACCTTCGGAGCTCCCTGTTAATCGCAGGGGAGGCCGCTCGGCCTTTCACAAAAGAGCCGAGACTGACCTGGCTGTCCTGAAGGTGTACATATCTGTGCCCCGGGAAAAGCTGTCCTATCTTCTCTTCGCCGCGGATCGCAGCTCTAACCTCGCCAATGTTGATGTGACGACGGGCCTTGACTCTGACGATCCTTCCAAGCTGGCGGAACTGCAAAGCAGAACAGACCTCCTCCCAAACAGGGTGAGAAACGTATGTTTCTTCCGGCAGCTCATCGGACTCTGGCAGCTCCCCGCGCTCTCGCAGGTAGGCCTGCGCAGGAGACAAAAGCCGGGCCCACAGCCCTCGTTGAAGCCCGTGCCGAGTCATCTCGAGGGAGAAAGGCCCGGGAACTTCGGCAGCAGCACTCGCCTCGGCACTCGAAGAGGCGTCGGTCGTCAGAAGGAGAGATGCAGCAGGAGCCCTCAAATCGACATCAACCTGGCAAAGGAGGACTGCGCTCACCAGGAGCTCTGAGCACAGCTCCCCGGCGACTGGCACAAAAGACCGCCGATCTCGATGGCGCTGCACGCTGTAGATCGAATCCAAAGTGCTCAAGAAACGCCTACGGAGCTGAAGACCCGAAATCAAACCCCCGGCGATGACCTCAAGCATCCCGACCGAAGTAATACCCCCGCGGACAACCTGGAGAATGAACTGGGCGAGAGCCGATGTCCTCTTCGGCCCTGGACGCAGAATGCCACTGGAGCCGTCCAGCCGTCCCCCCCAGAACTCAGCGGTAGAAGCCCGAGAGACGGCCTTGCTCTCGTTGCGAGGGAGCCCGCTCGCTTGGTAGGCGTCCGTCACAGCTCGCATAGTACGAATGCCGGCCGGCTGAAAACACGGGCCCGGCGAAGCTCGCGGTACGGGATCAAGCAAAATGAAGTCGTCTATAAGTAAGCCCGCTATATGAGCCCCCGGCCGGCCTGGCCGACCCTGAAGAGTGATGAAGTCACTAAGCTTAAGAACCCCGCTCCGAAGGAGAACCGACAAGTGAGAAGCCTGCCCAAGTGCCACTGCATTGAGGTCGCCCATGGCCATAGTGTTCAAGCTCGGGATGATCCTGCAGCCGCGGAGCGACCTTGAGCACGCCCGCAGATGGGACACCTCTTCGAAAGTCAGCTCAAGAGCGAGGGCATTCCTCTTTGCCCGCTGCTCCCCGACAATGAAGCTGTGATAAAATTCCTTCAAGTCTTCTGTATGGATTTCAAAAGAGGAATCCTCAGGTAAGTAAATGAATTGGAATTGTTCAAGGGAGCCCAGAGAGCGAATCCACCGCGACTCGGTTAGCTCGGCTTGGTTGGGGGGTCTCGCGTCTAAAA